TCCCAGACAAGGAGACCTGGACCTTTATTTCAGCTACTATACAGTCATACTTCTACTCAGCATAGAGGCACATTTATTACCATAGGTTCATTTAGGATGTGCCACAACAAACCAGGAATTATTTTATCTATTTTAGGGAAGCGCATTAAAAAATACTGTGAGAAAATGGAGACTTACAGCTACATGATTTTGCAGGCTGCCACACTACCATGAATGCAGGTCAACTTTTCACTTCGTTTTTAATTACATTGCTAAACAGACACAACAGCTGTTTTGCAGAATTTTTAGTGGAAATTTTACTTTCTTCAGGCTACATCATGTGCTTTTCAGCTACTCTTGATGTGCAGAACTCTTGGAGTTTCTCAACCCCAACCCTCATCCCTCAGCTGTTGAGGGATGTTGACTGTTGTTAACACAGGATACGTCAAAATAGACACTTATGTTTCCTGCCCTGGTGATACAATACAATTTCAGAAAACCACAGTCAAGAGAAACCCAGATGACAATTTCAACAAAAAAAAAAAAAAAAGGAATGAGTTATTTTCTCTCTCAATCCAAAGTTACTTTGAGGCACTCAACTCTAGTCCATGTTCTACAAGCTAAATTAAAAATTCAACATAAATATTTTAATGACTTTAAGTGCAATTAAATAAGAGGAAACTTCCACCAAAGAAAATCCCTGTGGAGTTGATTACTATAAGTTATGAAAGCATACCTAGGAAAGGCTATATAATGTTTTCTTTTGCTGCTCTTTAATCATCTGTTACTAAAGACATTAGACAAAGCTAAAGAGACCTCTATTGTGAATAACTACCCCAATTTTATAGTCTGAAATGAGTATGAAAAATGCATTATCTTATTTTTCTGTTTTGAATCATGCTGATAATAAGCCATGGAAGAACCTTCTAAAGTGTACTAAAAGTAAGTGACAAAAGAATAGTTTTAGTATGTGAAATTACTGAAGGATGAGGCAGCAAAACACAAGGCATTTGACTAGATGAAGTTGCTTCAAGCCCTCAAATTGGCTCATGCAGACCTCACACAGCTCAGGACCCAAACAAGAACAAGTAATACCAAGAGCAGCATTTACATTGAAGTATAGAATCTATACTTCTTCTAAAAAAAAAAAAAAAAAATCATTTCTACACATGTGAGTGGCTATAAAAAGGAAAAAATCAGAAGCCATTGCTGTTTTAGAAGGACAAAATCAGTTGCTGAAAGAAGATTAATGGGATTCTCTCACTCCCTGAGGACTTTATAGCACTGAGAATCGATACAGCAGTGGTCCAAGGGATCCCAAAGCTCACTCCTCGTGGCTCTTTCCCCACTGCAGAAGTCAGATGAAGTTGCTGTGCTGCAGCACATGTTCTGCACTATTGTCTCTGCTCTCATTAGGATGATCAAAAACCAACTCCCACAGCAAAAGTCTGGTTCTTATGCCTCTTACTCAGTATCTTATGTACAGATTTATGTGTGAATTAATAACCTATGCCTTCAGCTCAAGAAAAAAGCCTTTTGTACCTCAGTCTCAAGAGATTTCTAAACTCAGGCCCTGCAGACATTATGTGCCCATTTCCCTCTCTTCTACAGTGAATTACTAAAGCTGAAGAGTGATATTCTAGCAAAAATGCTGATTCAAGAGAACGACTAGTATTCCTTCAGAGCATGTTTATTCTGCTAAAAGCCTGCTCAGAGGCCAGGGGGGCAGGCAGTCCCTGCTGTGTGAGCAGCTGCCGGGCACCCTTCAGCCTGGCTCCCGCCGGGCAGCACACGCAGCCCTGGCTGGCCAGGAGCCACTTCTGCACAGCAGCTGAAACAAACCCTTCTGCTGTGCCTCTGCTCCACCCTGCCAACCATCTAGTCCAGCTTGGGATGAAACAAAGTGCCAGCACCCCAGAATTCTCCACAAAGGACAGTTTTAGTCTCAATCTGTGTATGTTCTAGTGTCTGCTTCGCTGCCCCTGCACAAGCATGGATTTAAACACAAGGAGTACTGAGGAATCAGTCCCAAGCTGGTTACATTAATCAAGTTTTTATGAATAACAAGCATGATAAAATTCTGAGCTCCTGAGAAAAGGGTTCAGTATTTTAACACTGTTATAGTTAAACGCTGCTTTCTGTGAGGCTTTTGTAAGTAACTCTTCACTCAGCTACCACTCATACTTCTCATTTCAAAATACTACAGCCTGAAAACAGAGGACTTTTACAAGGACTTTGTCATCATGCAGATGGTGCTAGTCTACTCTCCGTTCCCTGGAGAAATGACAAAGCATCCAGATTTCTAGTTACCACCGTACTGACCCAATGAGACACCAGTACAGACTGTCCCCTGTTATTTGTAAAACAACCTCCTCCATCTTAAGAACTCCAATTGTCTTTCCACAGCTTTAAAGATCCTAATTAGACATATTCTAGAAATGTATTTGCAAACATCACTATTGCTCTAATAGAGAACACAGGACTAGAAGTCAATCTCACAGGCTTCTAATTTACTTCATGTTGCTCAATCAGCAGCTGTAGCCTTCTGCCCACTCCCACCAGATCTTTGTTTAAGATCAAAGCTGATTCAACTGTCAGATTGCTCAGGTGCTTTGGGTTTTTTCTGGGTTTTTTTGTGTTAAAAAGCTGCATTTTACTGGACTTCAATTACACAAAAATGATTAATTCCGCAGGAGAACTTGACCTGGTGAATTCAGCCTTTTTTCTGCAGATGCTAGCTTCTGTAAAGCACAAAAGCAAAACTGTTTTTAAATAACTGCTTTTAATTTTTTAAGCCAAATAATTTTTCTTTTCAATAGGCAGTAACAGCTTTCAATTATGTTCTACTTAAACTCCTTTACTTCATCCTCTTTTCAAAACAGATCAGGACACTTCTGTTCCTCAGAAGTTCCTGTATGCACTGATTTCGTGTGTTCTCATTTTTAAAAAAGCTCACATTAATTAATTGATACATTAGGGACAGAAAATATAGTGAGTTCAGCAAATAAAAATAAGAGTTCAATTATTAATCCTCATGAAATAATTTCTGAGGCATGACTCATGAGTCAGCATTTTCAATGAAACTGTTTGTAAAGCAGAAATGCAATTTTACTACAGTTTTGATAACATCCCACATCATACCCTGTTATACATTAACTACTTCAGACATCAGGGTTTTTTTTTTTAAATCTTACATCAATTTCAGCCACTTTAGGTCTTTTTGTTTTCAGAAAGCAGATGGAGGAATCTTCATATTAAAAGGACAGAAAAATTCTAACAAAGCAAGAAAATAAATGGTAACTTGCTGTCAGAATTGGATGCTATACTACAGAGTTTATAAGAGATTAAAAGACAATTCACATCATTAACTGTGACATGCAGAATATCATTGAGATCAACAACAGCATTAATAAAGTTGGAAGCAATAAGAGTGGGATGAGTTTACAAAAACAGTTGCAAGGAATATGGGAAATTAAAATGCAGAAATCTGATCTCTGCACAGGTAAATTGTAGGATTATAGTAAAGCACAGAGATACTAAACACGGACATGATGAGAAAGGACAGTCTGACTTTTGTGGAGGTGAACCTCCACAACCTCTCTCTGAACATATTTTTAAGAAGCTGGTAAGAAGGTCAATAAAGGAGATACTGTTAATGCATTTCAATGTCTACAAACCTTTCAATAACCTTTATCTAAGTTATCTTGGGATATGAGAGGTGATTATCTGGTGAAGTCTGGAGAGGTGAATAAAGGCTGCTTTTACAACAGAAAGCCAAAATTATTAGAGATTACCTTTGCTGTAACCTGTGTAATTCAATATATTCATAAATGACCTAGAAATAGCAGAATGGTAAGGAGTTGTTTTATTATTTGGAGTGCTCAAATTTTACTGTAGAAAATTGCAGGAAAATCATATCATCCTGTGTGACCTGGGATAAAGAGGCATATCCAGTTCAGTGTCTGCAAATGCAAAACAACCTACATGGGGAAAAGATGGCCAAATTATAAATGATGGTGGGGTTTAAGTTACCTCCCACTGCCTGGAAGATAAGAGATCATTTTGATTAACTGCACAGAAGCCATTCTCAAATAGACATAGAATTAACAGAGTAGAAAACAAAACATGACAATCTTTGTCTGAATCCCAGTCCATCTGAGTCTTGAGAACACTTTCAAATTCTAGATCCTCATGAAGAATAAAAGTGAGCTGGAAAAATATTCAGTCAAGTTATCAAATTTTCTATAAATACTAAGCAAATTGGCAGAGGAATTACAAAGGAGGACTACAAGAAAACTCCATCTGATTATGACAGACATGGAAGAGCTAATATATTGTGAAGGATAATCCCTTTCTCTTACAACAGCAACTCAAAGGCCATCAACTTTGACCTTTTTGGTAAATGTTTTAAAACAAAGGGAACTATCGTCCTCTTACAACAGTGAAACCATGGAACTGTGTGACAGAGATAAAAATTATGAATTAGCTTATACAGGTAAAAAAAATCTAAATAAAAGTTGATCAACACGTAGTAGATGTATATTGATGTAAATACTAGGAATGTTTCTAAAGGCCAAAGTTGCCAGAAACAAAAGGAGAAGTATTTTACCTCATTTAATTCTTGCATAGTTTCAGGGCCTGCTACTGGCCACTGCCACAGTAGATAGATAGTTGAGCTGCAAGTATTGTATTTATCATAAACTTATTTAGAAATTACAGGCTTGATTTGGGTCCTGCAATTACTCCTCTCTCCTCCCCACCTCAAACTCTGCTGCAATATGTAAATTTCTGTTTCCACATAGAATTTATCCCTGCATGTTTACACCTTCTCCAGAGCTATGTGCTGTCTGAGAAGTGACCATGCCTTTGACCTCATGCTCTTGGAATAAATGAGCATATTTAGATCTTCATCCCTCAGGAAATTATTTTATAATAAGATATTAGCACTGAAAAGCACTACCACAAGGAACTCAATATTTTCCCTGCTGGCTCACCAAAGTTTTCTATCCCATTCTGTTTAGAAACCCTGAATAATCACCTGGAACACCTTGGGCTTTGTGGTGATGGCACAGAAGCTGAAGATCAGATCCTTGAAAGTTTGAATGGGATTCTCCTGGCTATTACTGAAGATAGTTAAGTATCACTCTGGGTCATGAATTAACCATTTGCACAACTCAAAAGAATTCATGGCAGGTTTTGTTTATTGTGATAATATATTTCAAGAAGTGATTGCTGCTGAACTATAGCTGTCCTCAAGCTGTGTTTCTTTCTTTCTCTCTGTATAAAACTCACAAAATTACCTGTCACCAGATAAAGTTCCTGGTCACTAAAATACCAAACACTCCAGGGAAATTCCAGGTTTAATATTCTGTTTATTACAAACTCCTAGGATTAATTTAGGATGACCCTATCAGGTCAGGCATTTTAAAAGTAGTTTCTAGGCTACTTATACAAAAGTCCCTAAAGCCTTTGCACATTCTCCTAAAATGACATAAACCTGCATTTATGTGAGTCTCCTGGCAGATGGTGATTTACTATCTTCAGGACAGCTGGCCGTATTTTTGATGAAAAAAGGCTAAGGGAATTGTCTGTTCTAATTGCTAGTCTAATAAAAGATGCTGTGCCTACCTACAGAATTAATTGTTAGGCCATACCTCAGGAATAGCATCTTAATCCCTGACTTCCCATGCCTTATGCAGGCATCCTTTTATAGTCAGAGAAGATGAAACTGTTTTCCTCTTTGCCTTGCCACCCCTGCTTCAATTCAGCACAAAGCAGAGTAATCAGCTGGAGCCACACTTGCTGCAATTCAAGCAGATGACTGTGCCCATATAATCAGACTCAGACAGCCTTTAAGAACCTTGTTAAATCGGGGCTTGGATCCCACAGATAGCCACTCAGAACTCTAGGAAACAAAGGCACATGTGAATAAAACAGCTGCAAACCTACTGCAGGTACTGCTAACACTCTTATCACTGCAGAGCAGAGATCCTTCCACCTACTCAGAGGGAGTAAGATCTTCCCAACTTTGGCAAAAATCCTGAAGGGCAATCCACGATGTGCAGTGAAGGCAGCCCATGTGCTCTCAGAGATAGCCAAAAATGGTGAGTCGTGCTCAAATACTACTACAAGGCATTTTACAGCACATTAGCTTCATGTTTTCACTCTTGAATTTTGTTTCACGGCTACCAGCTACTCCTATGGCAATTGTTTTATTCCTACGTGGCAAAAGCCTGGAATTCCCTCTCTTTTTTCTACACAGAGGAAATGAAGAAACCATGTATTGAAGCAGATTTGGTTCTAACACTGATACCTTTGCTAGAGAGCACAGACCAAGAAATGCTGCTCCATGCTGGGAGGGCCATTGGCCGTATCTGTTACGATAACCGTAAGTATCTACTGAAGAGAATCTGCTTTTCCCTGGCTCTAAGGCATTCTTTAAAAGGCATTGTAACTCATAATAACTTTATGAGACCTGAGCACATATGCACCTCAGCCTCCAGTTAGGTATGCAATTCACAGAGCTCACAGACACCTGGCTGAATGCACCCCAAGCACTGCCTGAACTCTGGGCTTCCCCCCTACATTTCTGACTTCAAGTAGCACAAATCTGTCAGAACTGCTTTGAAATCACAAGAGGAGCAGAGCCTCACACGTATCTTAACCAATTGTGCAGACTTGCCTTGGGTCCAAATCCTGAATGGCTTGGACACCCTACAAAGTAATAAGAACATCTATAAAGCAAAGCACTTATTCAAAAAGTGCGTTAGGAAAAAAAGAGATAAAAATACTGAGATATTTATCTCTGCAAGGAATGGATTTCTCTAAGAACCACTGCTTGCATGCAGGAGATCTTTGTGCTCAAACTTCCCTGGACACCAGCTTACCAGATGGTCTCACAAGTTAAAAAATTTTCATTTACTTGCCCAGAACAGTTTAAGTTTTTTTTTTACCTTTAACTCCCAGACTGCCCAAAAGATCTATTCTATACTGAAAGTAATATGGAAACTTTCACCCAGTATCTTGTATCCATAACTCTCTGCCTTCAGTCTCTTTTCTCTAATCCTTCTAGTGTGGATCTGCACAACTTTACTTAGAAATTTGTGGGTTTGCCTCCTTCACTATTCTTGTGACTAAGCTCCCTGTGAGTTACATGTATTGGTCAGGGAATGACACAATAGTCTAAAAAAACTTTTCCCTGTAATTTCCTTCCCAGCTCATGTAACTGCTGTACACAGCAGTGCTGCAGCATATGGCCATCCTGCACATCTGCTCTCCTTCTGGCAGAGCACAGGCCCAGCACAGATTTGCCAAGACAACTGTGACATGCTTTAATAAATCCTATCACCAACACAGCAATAAATGCATCAAAGAGAAGAAAAATTAACTTCACCAATTCCCTGTCTGAATTTCAATTGCTGTGCTACAATAGCACCAGACCCTTCCTGGTGTCTGCCATGCACTCTGTCACACGAGCAGCAGCCCAGCTCTCAGCAAGACACTGCTGCAAAAGCAATGCCATTGTGCTTTTAAGCAACCATCACCGTCCAACTTCGTATCTTACAGTTCTTGGTACCGTTAAAATAATTTCAGATATTAAGCTTTCATTCATTACAAAAGAAACTACAAAAAGAAAGAAAACAGTTATCAGGGTTTTCCTCAGGAAGCACACATGGATGGAGACAGTGACTTAATACCTTAAGTCAAAGACAAACCAGGAGGTTTAGCAAAAATCTGTCCCAAAGCTGCATTTCCTCCACACACATATTAGCATGGAGCCACCACCAAAAGCTTTACAAATTCTAACATTGTGAGAAAGAACCAGACTACCTTGCTGCTAAGCATCCCAGCTGGACCCTTTCCACAGGTTTAATCAGTACCTGATTTAACCACCTTAAACACCTCTGCTTCTCTGACCAGGCAGCCTTCAGGAAGAGCTGGTGAAGGTTGGAGTGATCCCCTCACTGGTCCGAATATTAACTAACTATGCAGACAGTGAACCTCTTGTCCACGTTGCTCTATTGGCCTTATACAATCTGGCAGACCTTGGTAAGTAAGGTCTTTTTTAAAGTTGGTTTTTCGTTTCTGCATCTTAGAGAAAATCATCATCAAGTCCACACTGTCACTGCCTTTCCATGCCCACACATTTGGGGACTTTGTTTTCTCCTTTGTTTTTGGGGTGGGGTAGGGCTGGTATTTGGGCTTTGTTTTAAAACATTAATGATATCTAATCAGGAACTGGCCACAGTGTCTGATATGGATTGGAGAAATAACTACTCTTTTATGGAGTGCCAGCAATTACTTATACTGCATTATAAAAATTAATTTTTAACAGCCAGCTTTTGACCCCAAATGAAGAGATGGCATAACTTTATATGATAAATTGACATTTCAAACTACTTCAGATTTGGTACATTAAAAGCTTGTTTATTAAAACTTAATTTCTATTTAATAATTAAGTTTCTAAACCTTACTGAAACAGTTACCATTTCAATTTCCACAATTTTCCAAGAAAGAGCATCTCTCTACTAATTTAAAACATATTTGCCCTACTTTACACAAGTTGTGAGTAGTAATGGAAGAAAAAGATCAAGTACAAAATTATGATCACTATATATGGTCTGGCTAAAATTTGATCTACTGCTTCCTGCATTTAGGGGGCTATGCAGGGAAGGGACATGATATCACACTGTCACATTATCATCTAAGGAGGTCTGTCCTTGTTATATCAGTTCCATTATTTAATACCATATTCAATTGAAATGTATTCTATGTCAAACAGTGGCAAGCTTTGCTAACACCCATCCTGCAAATGTTTAGGATGCCAGCAAGACTAGAAGCACCTAATCAAGGCAAAAAATATACTGCTACAGCAAACTGACATGTTATATTAATAGCCAATTGTTATATTAAATAATCATACTACAGACAGACTTGTACACATCAGTGAGATTTAAGCCAGGATCAATTTGCTACCTATGAGGTCTACAGAAGTTACAGAAAAAACAGCTAAAGAACTTTGGGGGGAGAAGGGATAGAGTTCTGCTGTCTCAGTGCTGTCCAAAGAAACAGAAGAGTTTACAAGAACAGAAAAAGCCTTCAAAAACAGTGCCTAATCACTTCAGATCATAGGGAGATATTTTAAAATGTTTAATCAAATTTTAAAAAATCGAAATCCTGACTTTATCACATACACAGATTCAGCCAAGAAAGCTCTAAGCATGACAAAAGTTGCTGAACAACTGGTGAAACAACTGAGGAGAGCAGAGAGCCATGAGAAGCTAGAAATTGTCTTTGAGGTCCTGCAAGCACTTGCAGAAAATGGTAAGGCTCCTTTTGGTCTGGGTGGAGCAAGGGGAGACTGGGTATTATACTGGCTTAAGGCCTGGGTTCCAAGTTTGCCATGGGATCCTGCTAACAGTACCAGCAATCCTTTTGGGAGAAATAAGCCCCAAGACCATGTGAGATCCTGGCCCAAACAACACATGAACAGGTGAGACATGAAAGAAAGGAAGGAGAGAGTACCATTCCACCATTTCAGTCGATCCAAAAGTCAGCAGATTCAAACTTATTCTCCATGGTTGATTAAGAGGAAAGCAGCAACACAGCTATTTTTTTTTTTTTAATTTTAAAAATCAGAACAACTGGGTACCGGTTCAATCCCTGTCTGGGCCATTTACCTAAGAGTTGGACTCGCTGCTCCTTGTGGATCTCTTCCAGCTCAGAATATTCTGTGACTCTGTGAAGATGCACACTCTAAGCAGCAGTACAACAAGCACTGACACTGCTCCACTAAAAATATCTCAATATCTGGCACAGATTTTAAAGACACGAAAGTTCATGACTGGCAACACAAGAAATGTCAAAGACCAATGCAGAAAGCTTTGCTCATTCTGCCTTGTGTCATCCTAGCTCCAGAAAGCTGTTACAAGCAAAACCAAAACAGTGACTACACCTGAAAAACAACTGGCTAAATTTCAAGGATTTAGCTTTCTAGTTTGAAATGCTTCCAAAAAGAGCCAAGAATCTTTTAGTGTGCTTTTACTGTGATCTCTACAGATGCTCTGAAAGTGCAGTTGGTGGATGCAGGTGTGCCAGAGGTGCTGTCTGAGATCCTGCTGAGGCTCCAAGGCAGTTCCCAGGCTGAAGATACATGCATTATGAAGGCTGCATCAGATCTCATTGTCTCTCTGCTTCTTGGAGGTAAAAAGGGGAATATTACAAGCCAGGTACATGAAGAACCAACATCCAAAAGTCTCTTTAGCAAAAGAGTTTCCATTTCTGTTGGCTTCTTTTACTTAAACAGGGACCTATTCACAATCTCTTTTATCATCTTTGCAGGAATTCTTCTCAGGCATGACACTTTTCATTTCTATAACCTATAGCCCAGTGCTTGTGCCTAACAGTAACTTAGTTTATATTACTGCTATGCTGCACTCTGGGCAATACAGATTAAAAAATAAAATACCAGGAACTGGCCACTTACACTGCATCCCACCACTCTCAACTCCAAAGCAATCAACAACATAAAGGTCTTCAATAATTAACCTTAACAACAAACTAAGTCATCACTAACTGACAGAACAGCTCAGTTTGGGGGCTAATTATAATCAGATATGAAATAGTCTCTATTTCTCATAACACAAATAAGTACTTAGAGAAGATTTTTCCTAAGGGCTCCATCACCTCTTAGAACAGAGATATTTGCAACACATCTAGACACTTGCAGGTACCAAGACAGGGGCAAGGCTTATTGCTAATTTTACAAAAGAAATTGTAAAGTTGGTCGTTCTCTACCCTTCAAAGATGGAAAGCCACTGTTTGTGAGTGCAGAGAAAACCAACACTATCAGATTTCACTACTCCCTAGTTCTGAAATAGTTAATTTCCGTTCTGCAGACTAGAGACTTGCATGCTTTTAAGTTACAGATGCTACTGATACTAAAATAATTTGGGGGGCATAATCATAAAAAAGGGGTGATCATATATGCAAGCCTTTGCACTTTTTCTTTTTTTGCTGAACCACACTTTATTAGAGCGGAGACTCTGGAAATACTTAATGCCAAATACGTTTGTTAGAAATAAAAAACAAAACACCACACACCAAAAAAACCACCAAAAACACAGAGGAAAAAACAAACAAACAAAAAAAATTCAACATAGTTACTGCTGGTTTATGTTTTAAATCACTTTTAGGAAGGGAGGTTTGCTCAGACATTGAGATAGGAAGAAATCTCAACATAAGGCATTTGATCTTTCAATTCCTATTATAGAAAGCAATGAGCCTTTATACTCTGCAGAGAGAAAGAGATATTCTTATGAGCAGGCTCCTGGAAAGCATGCTGTGCTCAGTCAATCAGCAAAAGATCCTCCCCACACTTCCTGTCCTGTCTCACTGATCACCACTGTATTGGCTTCAAACTCAATTAACAAAATTGCTCAACTTTGTGTGCATATTCTCAGTTCAGTCAGAGAGAAAAAGTGAAAGATTTGCACCAGGCTAAGCCTGGGAAAAAGTCCAGGAAGAATTTAAACAATCTATTATCTTGTTTTCCATTCATATTGTTTTTAGATATGTTCTACCACAGTGACCTAAGTCCAAATGTACCAATCAAGTGATATGATTTACTTTAAAACCAATAGAATTAATGTTCACAATGTTCTCTATAAAAGAGAGAAGAGCTTTTGAATAAAAATCATTCTTTGCCTTATGAAGACAGAATCTCTTCATTCCTGTCCCTGCCTTACCAGCTACATTCTGCATTAATAGGTGCTTAATTATTAGAAAAAAATCCCTCACATCTGTCTTAATGTTGGTTTTGGGGTTTTTTTTAAAGCAAGCTATCATCCACACATCTCTTCACCTCCACCTCACAACCTTTCTAGACTCCCTTTCTTCCTTGCCCTATACCTTGCTCTGAATCAGCCATTGTGCATCATGGCTCTACAAAGGCCACAGAAGTGCCCCCAGTGCCTTTAACTGGCTATTTCAATTTACTCAGCTGAATGGCTTGCTTTGTCACTCATTCTTCTCCCCCCATCCTCCCCACAACAGCACTAGATGTTTCATGTGGAAGAAGTGAATAATCCCTCTCATGCCTCAGTGTGTGCCACTGATGTATGCACAGCTTTTAATCTGAGAGAAAAAAAATCCTATGGAAATCTGTTCTGAGCAGCAAATGACTTCTAGGCAGTGAAAAGATGACAGACAGCTTTTGCAGCTATGAAAAGTGGCTGTTCCTATCAGACTTTAACGATGAGCCATTAAATTGAATGTTCTGCTGCTATCCAAGCAAAAACTCCATTGGAGAGAAAAGCAATTTGGAGCTCTGTGACAATCAAAGCAAGGCAACCACTAATGGGCTCTGCCTATTTGCACTTTACTACATGAGGGGAAAAAAAAATGTTCTGACATTCTTCAGTTTGAGAGGTGGGGGAAGGAGAGAAATTAAGTTCAATTAAGGTTGGTCTATATGAAGATCAAAATCTTTTCCCTGTAGAATTTTATCAGACCAAAAGAGGTGACCTGTTTCTATGGAACCTGTTTTTAAAGAGGACTAGGCAATTTTCCTCATATACTCTGATCTCCAAAGATTAGGACTAGGCAAGAGAGCACTTGAAGAATGACAAGCAAAACCATCAACTTTAGAGAATATATGCATAAAATGGTATCAAAAGATTTCTGTGTGAGTAGAATCCTAACTACTTCACAGAGTTCTCTCATGAAAATATCCAACTACATTTTACAAGCATTTGACAAATTCTGATCTAACATATGTAAGAATACAGAGGAAAAACAGGTTACTAAGTGAAATGTTAAGAGATGAAGAGAATAATAGGCGAAAGATAACAGAAGTGTCTACGACTTTGAGGTGGAAATAACATCCAAACCATGAGAAGTATTGTTGCACACAGAGATTTTTTTTTTTTTTTTTAAATACCTTACTGCTGAATTACCAGCTAAGCCTCTAAGTTCCCATAAGAAAGAATCAAAGGAATGAGAAAGGTTCTCTTCTGGTAAGAGAACCATTTGCACCTGCAAAAAAGAAGTCTGTCCCATGAGAATCCACAAAGAAAATATGTAAACACCTGGGTAAAGAGAGAGAGTCTTAACACATAAACACACAAGCATTTTCTAACTAATTAATTGAGTGGAAATAAAGTTATGAACCAACTAGAGTTATACACGAGGTCTTGAAAACTATAAAAAATGGGCTTTAACATTTGGCTTTTCTGCATGAAGAAACTGAGTCCCATCTGCTTATTACTGCAACAAAGTACTGGAGCTACTGTTGGCCAGACCATGTATTTGCATCAGGTGTGTACAGTTCCATGGATAACCCTTTATTCCAGGTGAATACATCTTTGTATTTCATGTTCACACTGTTTTGCCATTTTTAATAAGCAGCTTTCACAAGGTAAAAGCACACAATAAGGAAGTGAGGCATAACAAACTGCATAAAGCAAAATACAGAAAATTATTTTCCAAATGGCATCTTCAAAACACTTCCTTCAGAAAGGATCCCATCTGTAGCATAGAGGGCTTCCTTTGGCTCTTTAGCAGAACTCCCATTTCCTAGGTGAGCTAAGCAGCTTCTGAAAACAAAGCTGCCACACCTATATGGAGCAAATTCCCAAAGACAGGAGGTGAGATCCAGACATGCACTGACAAAATACTTGCAGAGCATTGCTGGGCAAAGTGGTAGTTTTTTTGAATGTACAAATCTGCACTTTCATTGGGATTTAATAAATGAGATCTCTCCAGGTCAACTCATATTTTCTGAGCTTCATGTGAGTGTAACACAAAAAGACTTCTCATTTCAGAAAATGGGTTTTTCAAGAGAGGTAAGAAAAACCTGGCTCTGATTCTTTCAAGGAGTTGTTAATGACTATTTAGTTCATAGAAAATAAAGAATAACAGGAGTACAGAACTAGTAATCAGATTTACCATTGGTGGGTAAGATCCCTGGTTTCACAATAACGCCTTAAATCAGTAGAATAGCAAAATTAAAGGAGCTGGTGAGAAATGAAAAATGCCATTGGTATTCTACAACATGTGTAGTGGAAAATGCAGCAACACTGAGGGAAAAGAAAAGGACTGGGGAACCTATGATTTTGATTTTGACAGTGATTGTCCCTTGATAGCTCTCTCGAGCTAAGCTCCATTGGAGTCTGTCTCAGCATCAGTTTACAGGTAGCTGATGCTTGCCTCTAAAGAGCTGAAGGTAACAAAAAACAATGCAAAAGCTACAGTCTTGATCTTAGCAACAAATGAAAATAGTCAAGGCAAAGGCTCCCTGAGTTCTGAATTTGCATCACCGTGTTTCTTACCTCTCTCACCTGCTCGGTTCTGCCTCTCTCTCCAGATGGCAACTGCCTGCGCATGTTCCAGCTGGGAGTCGTGCACCAGCTCCTGGATGTGCTGGAGAAGCAGGTGCAGAGCGGGGACACGTCTGTGCAGCAGGCTGCTCTCAGCGCCCTGCAGAGCCTCGCCGTTCCAGGTGCAGCCCCAGCACAGGTCACCCTGCAGCTCTGCCCAAGCACCAGCACCTGTGTTTTGGGGGGAATTGACCTTTTCCCCCTCCCCCATATTTGAATAATTCATCAGGAATTCCTCATCTACACAAAGAGTTGAAATACCATAAAGTGTAATCTCATTACTAGCTGCTGAAGTAGTTTCGTATTAATAGCACACAACAGCTCAAGACAAAAAAAAAAATCAGAACAGGGTTCATGACTTAAAACACAGAGAATGGAGTGGTGACATCCTGGTAGGGATGTCCAACTTTCTCTTCTATAAAGCTAATATTCATTCATATTTTACAGAAACAGTAAATCTTAATGTTTTTTGAAGCTGCATTTTAGAAAGCTCAATTCAATTATAAAATATCAACATACAGCATTTTAATTATCTGTTCTGTTCAAGTCTGTTACAAATAATTTTAGATGTTTCCAAGTGTGTGGACACTACAATATACTTTTCCACCTCAATTCATAAAAATATCTGTAATATCTGTTAAGTAGTCTCTAACAGAAACACTTCTAGAAACACAAGCTCTATCACTTTCAACAATATAATCTGCTACCTGAAAAAAAAATGAAAGCACTGAGTGGAAATCCATAAACATGAATTAAATATTGGTGAACACCTGGAAATAGACATAGAACTCTTCAATTCAAGCATTGATTTGAAAAGATAACAGATGCTTATAAAACATTTAAAAGTCATTATGATCTAGTAAAAGGAGTCAGTCTTTGCCACTGAAAAACAGGGACATCAAGAGCAAGTTACTTAATAAGGTATGCTTCTCAATTTGCCCAATAAAAGGATGAGGGATATAACAGTTCTCTCCCTAATTTCACTGTCCAATCTTCCTCACCACTCTCCCAAAAATATATGCAGAAGATGGGAAAAAGATTGCTCTGGAGGAAGCAGCTTTTGGCAGCACAGTTAAGCAGTATTAAGTCTTCTCGCAGACAAGCTTCTGATTATTACAAAGGATTTACTGCACCAACCACTGGAGCAGAGGAAAGCACAGAAACAAAAGCACAAACAACAGGGCATCAGTGAACTCTAATACAAAAAGAAAAGCCATTTCTAAGAAATATGGCTGAATAAATCACTTCTGCCCCCCAGTTCAGTTAAGATGAGCTAGCACAAAACAGGCTTCCTCATGTGACTGGGCAAGTGGATGGATAATCAATTACAACTAGAAAAAGAAGAGGAACAACAATGCTGTGTTTTATATTTTTTTTTTCTGGGCAGGACTAAGATAAAAAGTAACTAAAACTACTCAAGAGCAGCTCCTATGAAAGTTTTAGCCCAAAAGAGAAGTCTAAGCAATCAGGTAGTCCTGACTTGATTTCTGAGCTCGCTAACAAGTTGGACTTTTCACTAGAAGCCTAACACAGCACACAATTCACAGCAGCTATGTGATATCTACATTTTCAAGTGTTTGTGCCCTTACTGAGCCTGACATCAACACTCTTTCCCCTGTTCTAGTTGTCAGCAAGGTTCAGGTGCTGGAGGAAGGCGTCGCAGAGCGGATCGAGGCGCTCCTACGGGCACAGAGCCGCCCCGCGCAGTTCAAGCTCCTGGGAACACTGCGGACACTGGCGGATGGACGAGGTAGGAACCCGCCAGCGCCCACTGAGCCCAGCCCCAGCTCCCCCCCACCTTACCCTGCAAAACAAGGCTCTGCAGGATGGGCTCAGTGTCCTGCTGACCCAATTCCACTCCATCTGGAGAGCTTCCAGCAGAGATTATTGCCAGAGGCTGCGCTCTTTCCAGACTGCCCCAGTCAGCCTCAGAGGCAGTTGAGAAACAAACCACATGGAACCAATCTGTAGCAGTCAGTGAGAGCAGGCAAAGGCCCAAAAAGATGTTTTTCAGCAGAGATACAGCAGCAAGGCATGAGTATGATGAAAAAGAGACAGGTTTTAGTGTCAAATCACAGGACAGCAAATCAATAAAGAACTAGAGAACATAAAAGGAATAAAGGGAGTTAGCAAGGCAGGAGAAATTAATTTCTACCAGTCCTTCTATACGTGTTGCCAGTTTTATCTTGCTCATGTGGCTCAAATGTTGAATTTACTTTTCATGTCAATGTTTTAGATTATTTACTTGTATTTCATTCAGTTTAACACAGAGGAAGTATGCAAAAGCAACAATAATCTTTCTGTGGATACTGTTGCATTTTGAGAAACGTGCACCATGTAAGAATTACATTAAGATATACTTCAATATCTTAATTTATCCTTAGGCTTACTTAGCTCTTAGCAGACCATGACACAAAACAAATGTCATGCAGTTTAGTAATGTCTTTCATATTGCCAGAGCAGCTGCTCTAGAGTACTAATCAGTACAGGTTCATTGATATGCAGGAATAACAAGTTAAAACTAGAATAGTTATGACCATTTTGTGATGGGAAGTGATAACTGACATGGGACAATTAAGACATCACTTCATTAGCTATATAGAAGAGGATAAAAAGCTCACTCTGCTACATTCCATGCTGCACTCCATTGCACTACTACAGACACCACTTAATATAAGAACTATTTGCATCTTTTATCAAACTAGCATTCATGATCAAAAATTTAGATCTAGTCCTTCTATTAATTTGCACCACTTCCAGTCCAGTGAAAAGCTGCTCTCACTTACATTTCTCTGTGATAGGAAATGAATATTGCATCTTCTTGTTCTGAGGCTTTGAAGAAGTCATTGTAAAATAACTTTGGAGAAATTATCTCAATTGTGACAAGGTGTTTGATATTTAAAATTGAGCCATCACAGTAACATAAATGCAAATTATCAAACACTAAATTATCTTTTTAAATTTTATTTACCAGTCCCAATACAAACTTGGAATTTGGCACAAGGTACAACTTCTGAATCTGAAACAAATTATCAAAATGCAAAGTAGAATAAAATATGTAGGAGACTCAATGTTTATCTATTCCCACCTTTGAACACACAATTCCCCCACTTTTAATTATCTTCTATTCTGTTTACCCGTAACATTGCCTTTAATTAACTCAGCCTGAAACTCTTATGAACACACATCTACTAAGAAGTCCACACTAAATTAGTCAATTACCTTATCATTACTCTATCAGCAGGTATGCTGAGACTTACAGACTAGAAGAAGCAGGTTTCTTCCTAAACACAGAAAACTTCAGGCAGATCTGTCAGCTTCATTACTCTACATTTAGAGACCCTAACTCCTGATTCTTCCATTACTTGCCTTTAGAAGAGCAGAATAATTTGTGCACTTCAGTAGCCAAAGGACTTTCACCAAAACTGAAAGTTCAATCTTATAAAATTTGAATAAATTGTAAATAAGTTAAAAGTTAAGAAAAGTTATTCCTGTAAAGAATTACTAACTGGGGTTTATCCTAAAGAGATCTACTGCCTGTCAAAACTGAGTAAAGAAGCTGCCTTCACCACAAATCTCATAATGGTTCCATCCTCCAGCCTCTTACCTCAACTTCCTGTACTAAGCTGGATTACTGTGATCTCTGCAGACTAACAAGGAACACCTGACTAGAAACAAGAGTCTTGTGCTACAGGAGACAACATGCAGGTAGCTTGCAATGCCCAGTAACTCTTGTCTCAGAACAAAATATGCCAGCTAGGCTGTAAGCTCCCAGATTCCTTGTGGGATTTTGACCTGTGGATTGTTCCTTAGTGTACTGGACTAATTAAAAACCAAGTGTGTGTACTTCCCCATCTCCCTCCCCCAAAACAGACAGAGCATAGGCTGGCTTACAGCTTCTAGAAAATGTCCAGAGCAATCACGTGGCTTATTGACACTGACAGGGACAGGTAAAGGAGCAGGATGATGCCTCTATCATTTTGTTACAGATGTTCACATAGAGTTCCACTTCCCAGGACAAGTTATCTAGTGAGGTTTATTTCAAATGTCAACCACAAACACCAATACTTCTAGCGAGTCTTGAGATAGGATTCCTGAAATGCAAATTAAAAGGCTCTTCCACAGTAAGGGGAATTTCTGATAATGCCTTATACACAGTTCAACACACATTCTTAGGACTCAGGTCATCCAATTACTGACATGCTGCCAATTCTGTACTAAGACTTGAGTTCCCACACCACCAACAGTAATGAATTATCACCAAAACAGCACAAACAGGCTCCCAAGAGCCCACAATTACATTTGTGCAGGGCTCAAAATGCAAGGGCCAAAAGCCAAGCGGGAAAGGGCAGGCTCCCTGAAGTATCACAACAGAATATTTGTTTTCAAAGACAGAAAGCTGCTTATTTTAAGCCTGACTTCAGCAGCCCTTTTAAAATTATAGTCTATTGACACAGCTTATTTTGTCCTTCACCTGCATGACTCCATCGGAAAATATTTCCTAGATATTTAAAAGTTCAGTGCTTCAATGAGAGCTCTTGAAGGTTGCTGAGCACAAGTCCACCACCCCAGTTATTTCTACATTGGCATTCCTGTGGCAGACTGACGGAGGGGTCTGATTTTGAAAGCCTCTGGGTGATGCTTTTCTCTCCAGCTGATGCAGCCGAAATCCTGGGCCAAGACCCCCAGCTGCTCAGCAGGCTGGTGCAGTGGTGCAGCGTGAGCGACCACAGCGGCATCTGCGGAGAGGCAAACCGGCTGCTGGCTTCCATCCTGCACCACAACAGGTCCCAGGTACCACCACCCCTGCTCTGATTTCTACTACACCCCGCTCAAATATGTTTAAAGGTTGCAGACAGAGCTAGGGATTAAACAGCACATGCAGCTTTATAATGAAAACCATGAAGGTTCAGTGACAACCTCTCTGGTGTGCCTCAATACCTGGGGGAAACCTGTGCACCCCATAAGCACAGACACCTCACAAAAACGAGCACCACGGTCACTTACGGTCACTTGTCAACACTGACCCTGCCTCACTAAGGCCTGACAAATGGCAACTAGCAGGTCAAGCTTTTCTATGGTCAGAAGTATGTTTCAAATTTCAAATTAAAATGGTAAAAGCAACCCAGAGCTGTCCTAAATGTCTGTCCTCTGGAAGCTCCAAAGAGCCCACTTATCCATGATGGACAAATCTGGCATGATCTTTACATGCTGGCATTTTCAAATTGGCTTGTTTTTTTTAAGTTGTACTATTACACACAAGCATCCAAGCCATGCTTTACTATGAAGTAGTGACTAAAAAAGTAGATACTCTCTGCACAGGCATTGATAAAGCAAGATTAATCCTTGCTAGCTTGATAGATTGAAATGAAAGAATGGAATAAGGACAAATTGAAACAAGACAAATATATATTTATCTGACAGATATGCATCTATAGTTAATTCTAAGTATTTGTATTTCAGTTATATTAGACCAGCCCTAAGTAACACGTATGATCAGTGCCAAAAGAAATGTTATCCCTAGTCTTTGAATATAGTCAGTTTGCACTGCAGCAAACAAATAATTTCCCTCTATTCAGAAGTTGAAGGGTGCAATCTCATTTCCCTCTTCATTCTACTGTATTCCTACATTAGATTTCCATCTGTTTTACCTTTGCTTTCACAGGAAGTGGTCAAAGCCATCCAGGCAGCACAAGGAGTGAAGCATCTGGTTTCCATGACAACAAGTGAACATGCAGCCATGCAGAATGAGGCTCTGAATGCCTTGGCAATAGCTTCTGCCATTGATTTAGGTATTTTCCTCCTAAAAGCATTTACCTGTGCAAGATCCTCAATTATTAATAAACACTGTCATGCTGTTAATTCTAGGTAACATGTATGAAAAAGCATGTTTCTTGTCTAGATTTAGCTCTTCAGCATGAAATAAAGGTTGTCACCATTCAGATCATAAAATCAACAGGCTTTAGGAATGGCCTGAAGGCTTTTTTTATTTAGGATCGAATCAAATTATCATACTGTGTGGACAGCCACTACTTGAGCAGCATAATATGATGCTAGAAACCTACACAAAAAAAAAGTAGAAAAGTGGAGGTGATGGAGATAAAAAAAAGATGATAAAGGCTAGATGAGGGACAAACAGATGAAGACTGTAAATAGCAGAAATAATCTTCAGACTATGAGGACAGAATAAACCAGAACCATAAATAAAAAGGTATTGTAGAAGCTGCAAATAAAACAGGTAAAGATTCAAACTAATTTTCCTGAGCTTATTTTCAGAGTTACATACAAATTTCTTCAGATTTTTCCTGTATAACTTGAAAATAGGTCTGAACTTCTTACAATAAAGAGATGCCACAAATCTATGTACATCAAAAGGTAAATTGAAAATAAAAACTTGACATTTGTCATTTTCTTTACCAACACATAAGACTGAAGAGCCCATTTTACTGTTTGTCTACCATTAAAACTCTCAAACTCATTTAGGCAATTAATGGGAAACAACATTTCTAGCACTGAACATCACAGGATTTAATTACTACAAGGTTAACTATATACAGTCAATATATAACTAGTCCCATCTTCAAGAATGAGGCAAATAAAGAAATTCTGTACAGAAAAAAACACAGAAATTCTTCAGTGCAGAAGACAGATGCTCAAGACCTTCCTGTATAGCCAGTTCAAAATGAAGCCAGTCCAGAACTCTTTAAAAAAGGAATATTCACTTTACAATTTCTTTCTAGATAACAGCTCAGGGTTATCATTTCTTTGTTTATTTTTCAGAAACTCTTGAAGAATCTTTTAAAGAATCACAGCTAGTTCAAAGCTTACACAAACTTCTACAAGATGATAACACTAGTCCTGAGGTGAAATACAACTCAATGGGCCTTTTGTGCAGACTTCTTAATTCAGGTAATTTCATTTTAAGTTGTCTGTGATGGAAGGATGAATATTTGTGAAGAAGACAAATGGTTTCTGTTACCAAAATATGCTGCCTGCAGTGCTCCAGTGAATGAATATTAGCGGTTCACTCCCTATTGATCACCAAAAATCACATTCAAGTAGTTTCCTTCTCTAGGAAAAGCTGATTAAACCATTAGTTGAATAAAATAAAAAAGAGAGGAAGGCTTCATTGCAGTCAGTCTGTGGCATAACTAAGTCCCAAAATAGCAAAATTAGTCTTGGAGCAAAAGCATCTTTGTTGAACTTCACCATGCACTAACACCTGGCAGTCCCAGAGTATTTCTGTATCCACAGAAAGTCTGTACCATGCTCACAAGGCAGGCATACATGTTTTCTGCCTGTGCTGTGAGCAAACCAGAAGCTGAGATAAAGCAGCCATTTTAGCAATGCTGTCTTCACACAGAGTGTAAAGCATGTGAAGGGCATGATTTTGGTTTCACTCCATGGTCAGGGAAGAGTTCAAACGCTTCCAGCAGGCTGGGACTCTGCTGGATGTGTAGCACTAAATGAAAATGAGCACCTTGAAACCAGAAGTCCAAAAATCTTGTGACAGTTTTTCACATCTTAACACAAAAATTATATAAATTGAAAATAACAATTGTATTTGGGCAAGGATGGAACACAATGTGAGCTACCTTTGAAATCCTTGAGCCACCCTGTATTGACAGACAAGCTGGATTTTGCAGTATACTCTACTTTATCCCTGTAGCCACACAGATATTGCAATAGGGATAAAAAACTTGTAGCTTTCAGTGCTACTATGAAGTATCGACATAACAGATACGATCTATAAGACTTTTTTTCCAGATATGTATACACATAGTATTTTATAGCCTAACTGTAAGGCTAAGAGTTGAGTCTTACTAATATGGAATGGTAGCAAAAAACATACAGGCAAAAAAGTGCCAGAAATTACCCTGTATTAGAATTTCAAAATTTAGGTTTTTTTCAATCAGCTCTTGGAAGTCAAGCAGGAGGAAAAAGCCTTAATATGACCAATACTTCCAATGGCTGAAAGGTATATATTGAAAAAAAAAATTTTTAATTGAAGCAGCTTATTATGAACAGCAAGTACTCCAAACTTTTATCTCACAATTGTTGGGAACCGCTATGCCACAGCAGGTAACTAGAAGTCATCATTTCATCTCCCATTCAGGTGATCTGAGACAAGAAATAGAAGAGGACAAGATCAAAGACACCCTCGAGCAACTCTGCAGTCACAGCAATGCAGACGTGGCCAGGGGAGCCACCACAACACTCCAGATCCTGAGAGGAGAGACACCCCACTAACCTCCCTGCTCCCAGGGAGCCAGCACTGCTGCTCAGGCACACACCACCAGCTTTGCAACCCTTCATTTGTCATGCTGCTGCACAACCAACACTGCTGAAGCCCAGGTGCAGCTGCTGCTTTGAGAGCTGTGTATAAAATCTCCTCATTAGCACATCTCTTTGGCTGATACTTGCACTACTGCTGCTCCTCACTGAGCCACCAACACAGCAGGAAAAAGCCCTGGCAAGCAAATGGTGTTAAGAAACATCACAGGAGAAACATCAGACAATTACCACTCATTATATATTTTTCAGGGGCTTGGTTTTGTGAGATTAGGATACACACTTGCAATTTTTCTTGTATCAATGGGATTTTTAAATAATTATATAAAAGACAAGCTTTTATCATGGAACCAAGTTAGATTAAAGGTGTAGCTTAAACAATGCAAAGGGCTGACACAAACTGAACACCTGCACATTGTGAATGACACTGTGAGCCCAACTGTTAGGTGAACATGTCAAAACCAAAGCTATCTTTAAGCTAACTCTCCCTTCAATCTCCAATTTTAAAGCCCATCTCTGAACCTGTACCTGCTCCTGTCACAAGTAATATTCCTAAACGCTTGAGGCTACAGTCTTGTCCTGATTTCAGAGTTGCACCTACTGGAATGAGACTCTGCAGAAGCAAAGTTTACAAGAAACCACAATCAGTGAACACAGTGCTTGGACAAGACACAGAAATTACAAGTGGGCAGGGATAAGGATGTGGAGGCAGCCAGCATTTCATTATCACCCATAAGAGAACCTGGGTTTAACTTTAGATAATGGGGGAAAAAATTGAGTAAAACAGATGCCTCTGAACATTTCTGTGGAATCCTTTTGTATTTAAAAAGGTCACTAGATGAGAAGGTAGCAGATTATATTCCACAACTTGTTCTTATGGGAAATTTTTTAAGCAGTTGCAGCTACATTGCAGAGCCCTGTTGTCCAGACCTAGAAGATTAAATTCAAAACAATGCAGTGGTAGAGACTGAAAAGCTTGGGAGCAATTTTTTTTTTTTTTTTTTTTTTTTTTTTTTTTTTTTTTTTTTTTTTTTTTTTTTTTTTTTTTTTTTTTTTTTTAGCCAGCAGAAAAGCTATTGCAAAAAAAATGAACAGCGATCTTCAGAAACCTATTATAAAGCAGACTGTATTTAGAAGTCAACAAGGCTTCATATGTTCTCAATTAGAGAACAACTGGCTTATGACAAACATGACAACTTTGTTCCTGCAAAAGCTTTCCCACTTGCAAAACCCAGTAACACTACTTGACCCCTGACATTCATCACCAAATATCACTCTCAGGAGTAGCCTTGAGAAAGGGAATTCCACAAAACCAACCCATGTAAGTGACACTTGTTGAGCAACACACAAACAAGTTTTGATGACATTACAGGAGAAAAGAAATACAGCACTTTTAACCTTTTTTTCATGACCAGAGATTTAATAGTTACTCTACACGAAAATTCTGCAGCTCTTCACTTGCTCATGGCTTTCCATTAAAAATGCAGAGAAAAGCATCAGTCTTATCTATTATTCAACAACATAAACTGAAAAGAAAAAAATATCATCAATTAGTTTCAGCAAAATACAAAAACAAGCACCCCCAATCTGAGTAGCCAATCTAAACCTTCAAGAGTGAAATATTAGCGACTGCAAGCAACACATCTCAGGAATCAAACTCCAGGAGTAAAAAATATTGAATTTTATTTAATCAAATTTAAGGCTTAAGAAAAAAAATATATTGAAAGTCACTCATAAAAGCCAGCTCAGAAGAGGAGAGAGAAACTCCCCTTCCAGTGGCTGAACAATGTTCAAGCTGCATGACAATGCACAGGCAGTAAGGGGAAGAAAGAGGGAAGGATGGAATGGGGATACAAAACCCAAGGCAATTCTACACACAAATCAATGGCCACATCAAGCTCCAAGACTGGAAGCACAAGTCTGTCCACATGGCACTGCACGAGCTCACCAAAGCTAAAGATCTCTTGGGAAGAAACATTCAGATTTTCACAAGGCAACCCAAGGTCCTTGGGTCACTACACTCTTTTCAGTGCTTATACACATTCTCCTCTTCATGTACAGGGAAACTGTGTCCAAAAGCAGTTATATCAATAAAAACAGAGGCAGTTGCACTGTCAAACAGACTGACACATACATACATAACTTAACGGAAACAAGTTGTGCTCATTTCTGAGAAATAAATGTGATCACATTGACGTTTGCTTCTCTCAGTCCAGTTCTTCAAGTCTGACCTCTTTTGACATCTTCATGAAAAACCTTGGTTTTTCAAAAACCTTGGTAGTGTTTGTGAACTTGTTCCAAATGCAACCGCTGAAATCTCACCATCAACAATATATCAAACCTCTCTGTGAGATCACTGAATTACTTTTCCTTTGAGGCTTCAGAGGCAGGCTCACACCCAGCTGCTTTTGCTGACAACTTTTTTTAGACCATAACCTAAATCTTTAGCCATGACATCACTGCAGGTCCACAGAGAAGGTGCTAAATAAAACTAAGTAGAAAGTCTTCCTATTAGAAGTCTGAAATTACACTAGCCACATATAGGCATACTTCAGAATATACAGGGGCAAAACAACCTAGAGCCCCAGGATTTTAAAAATTACACTGAATAAGGACAGAGAAGTTTATCCAGAGTGGCAAAAAAGACATTCACCCCATGAATTTAAAGGTCCTCAAATAAGTTGAACTTATCTCAAATTCAGTTCCAAATAACTGAAACAAAGGCTGGTGTTAATATGGCCAAAGCCATCGAGAACAAACTGTGGAAAGACAGTATTTAGTTAAATTCTGGTTTGCATACAAACAGTACTTAAAAAAAACCCCAAGTATTAATTAGTCTTCAGGAAACTTGGCAAGATTTGCAGACCCTGGAATCCTAATCTGTAATGCTGGCTCTTGTCAGCAGCTAATTTCAGTGCATGAACTCCACAGCCATCTTTGACACCAGAATGATTTTCACCAAATCACTGGAATTCCTTCCTAGCATTAGGAACTGGCTGTGGCAAAAACTGGCAAAGGGAAATGTACCCCCCAGCTGGTGTTTTCAATGCAATGTTTTATGACTAAGAAATTCCAAATAGGAATCATCTTTCTCCGATTTTAGATGTATCAGATTATCACAATTAACCTTAACCAAGTAACTTGGCTGATGAGGTGTTGCAAAGTTTCAAGCACCAGAATTTAAAGCAAAGTTTGCTGGCCACTGCTCTGTTCCTTGCCAAGTCATAGCACAATCACACATTTCTGGCTGCTCCTGGATCAGATACAACCAATTAATCAGATTTGATGTCTGAAGTAAAACAGACATCAAATTCACAGCTTTACAGAAGAAATGCCTCTTGCTCTCCCCTCAGTGATCTACTGGTACTGTTTTCTTATTGTATTCCAATTTTAAAAAGTCACAGTGTACTTCTAGCCATTTTACTTTCAGGTTTTCAGATGAGTTAATAGCAGACTATTCTCTGCTACTGTAAGGAAATCAGCCATCCTTAGACAAACTTCCTTTTCCTGTTGTGTCTCAATCACTGGCCAGAAAAAGAACTATGAAAGCTGAAGTACACATGAGCACGCCTGAAGTGCTTCACAGATTACAAGCTAGAAGGATGTCTGGACAATTCACCAGACACAAAGATTCTTACTGTTGATCAACTTTTGCCAGTGAAATGTTTGTTAATACATGCATAATAGAAAAAAGGACATAATATATTTAAAATTTTGGCTTCCAAAGAAAACCATATACTTTAGAAATACAAGTATTAAACCCTTCAGGCACACTACATGTAGTAAAATATTATAAAAATAGATACTTTTCTAAAATTTACACTATGTTAGGCACTGTAAATGAACCTGCTCTCCCTGAAAAACCTGGTGTCATTGGAAGCAGTAAACCATGTTAGTTAGATGGCCCACAGTAAAACTGACAGCCACAGCTACTTCCAAAAACTTTTCAGCCACATACTGTAACCTTACAGCTAAGGATACAACACCAAAGTCTTACAGAAGAGACTGCACCTCCTACTGAGCTACAGATCCATCTACTAAGCCCCCACAAAGGGAGGACTGGAAGAAGAGTTTACTTTTCTCTTAATTAAAATAAAAACCCTGACAATAAGAAGGACTATTTCAGCTTCATGTAGAAAATTACTGAAGAAATCATTCTGCTTCACTGTATATTTTGATTCACATTTGAACCATGAACCAGATGAAACTGATGGCTCAACAGCTTTACACAAGACTTTAAAATTCAACTACTTTAATATTTTGCTAAATATGTACTTCCTTATTTAAAAACATATTTCAGTAAGGATTAACACTGAATTTCTAAGTCTTTCATCAGTCCTGACAGTGGCAGTTAAGACTTGTGAAGATCAACATAGCAGTTGTGAGAGAAACTAGAGAAATAACAAAAGCCATCAACAGCTAGCACAGCATGCTTGCTACCTACTGAAAACAAGCTTCTCAAGTGTATGCAGACAGCACTTTTTAAAGATATTACTGATCATTGAAAGGATAAGCATTTTTAAAGAGGTTTTTCTTCTATAAATAAAGAATATTTACATTTTTCTCAGACAGAGAACAGCATCAGGGCTTTACACCCTCTTGCCCAAAACAGAGATTTGTAAAACTTAATGCTACAGATCGTCAGATTTTTCCTATACTGGGAACTGGCTTACATTTTTCAAAACAGCATGGGGTTTGCACAACCTGAAATCAACTAAAGATCTAAATATTTTGTGATTTTTTTTTTCCCCAATTTCCAATTATGGTAGCTGGATATGTTGCCAAAAACGACTGGATAAGTCTGCTGGAGAGATTAATATGATTGCAAGATTCTGGAGAAATCAGCATGTGACATTTGAAACTATTACATTTTAAGACAGAAGACAGGAGTGAAGACAGAACAATCTTCTTAGCAATCCTTCAAGGAAAGAGTTTACAGCAGTTTCATGGCTCCCTGCTACAGTCTTTAAAATCTGTTCTGCCAATGTCTTGGGAAATT